GGGTATGGGGTGACTACCACCCACAGGATGGGTATGGGGTGACTACCACCCACAGGATGGGGAAAGGGGTGACTACCACCCAAAGGATGGGTATGGGTGCTACCACCCCCAAGATGGGTATGGGGTGACTACCGCCCACAGGATGGGTATGGGGTGACTACCGCCCACAGGATGGGTATGGGGGTGACTACCACCCACAGGATGGGTATGGGGTGACTACCACCCACAGGATGGGTATGGGGTGACTACTACCCACAGAATGGGTATGGGGTGACTACCACCCACAGGATGGGTATGGGGTGAACCACCCACAGGATGGGTATGGGGTTACTACCACCCACAGGAGGGTTTATGTGGTGACTACCACCCACAGGATGGTATGGGGTGACTACTACCCACAGGATGGGTATGGGGGTGACTACCACCCACAGGATGGGTATGGGATGACTACCACCGACTGGATGGATATGGGGTGACTACCACCCACAGGATGGGTATGGAGTGACTATCACCCACAGGATGGATATGGGGTGACTACTACCCACAGGATGGGTATGGAGTGACTACTACCCACAGGATGGGTATGGAGTGACTACCACCCACAGGATGGGTATGTGTGACTACTACCCACAGGATGGGTATGGGGGTGACTACCACCCACAGGATGAGTATGTGGTGACTACCACCCACAGGATGGGTATGTCGTGACTACCACCCACAGGATGGGTATGTGGTGACTACCACCCACATGATGGGTATGTGGTGACTACCACCCACAGTATGGGTATGGGGGTGACTACCACCCACAGGATGAGTATGTGGTGACTACCACCCACAGGATGGGTATGTGGTGACTACCACCCACAGGATGGGTATGTGGTGACTACCACCCACAGTATGGGTATGTGGTGACTACCACCCACAGGATGGGTATGGGGTGACTACCACCCACAGGATGGGTATGTGGTGACTACCACCCACAGGATGGGTATGTGGTGACTACCACCCACAGGATGGGTATGTGGTTGACTACCACCCACAGGATGGGTATGTGGTGACTACCACCCACAGGATAGGGATATGTGGGTGACTACCACCCACAGAATGGGTATGGGGTGACTACCACCCACAGATGGGTATGGGGTGACTACCACCCACAGGTATGGGTATAGGGGTGTGACTACCGCCCACAGAATGGGTATGGGGTGACTACCACCCACAGGATGGGTATGGGGTGACTACCACCCACAGAATGGGTATGGGGTGACTACCATCCACAGAATGGGTATGGGGTGACTACCACCCACAGGATGGGTATGGGGTGACTACCACCCACAGGATGGGTATGGGGTGACTACCACCCACAGGATGGGTATGGGGTGACTACCGCCCACAGGATGGGTATGGGGTGACTACCACCCACAGGATGGGTATGTGGTGACTACCACCCACAGGATGGGTATGTGGTGACTACCACCCACAGGATGGGTATGGGGTGACTACTACCCACAGGATGGGTATGGGGGTGACTACCACCCACAGGATGGGTATGGGATGACTACCACCCACAGGATGGATATGGGGTGACTACCACCCACAGGATGGGTATGGGATGACTACCACCCACAGGATGGGTATGGAGTGACTACCACCCACAGGATGGATATGGGGTGACTACTACCCACAGGATGGGTATGGAGTGTATACCACCCACAGGATGGATATGGGAGACACTACCCACAGGATGGGTATGGAGTGACTACCACCCACAGGATGGATATGGGGTGACTACTACCCACAGGATGGGTTATGGAGTGACTACCACCCACAGGATGGGTATGGGGTGACTACCACCCACAGGATGGGTATGGGGTGTACTACAACCCAGGATGGGTATGGGTGACTACCACCCACAGGATGGGTATGGGGTGAATACCACCCACAGGATGGGTATGGGGTGACTACCACCCACAAGATGGGTATGGGGTGACTACCACCCACAGGATGGGTATGGGGGACTACCACCCACAGGATGGGTTATGGGGTGACTACCGCCCACAGGATGGGTATGGGTGACTACCGCCCACAGGATGGGTATGGGGTGACTACCACCCACAGGATGGGTATGGGGTGACTACCACCCACAGGATGGGTATGAGGTGACTACCACCCACAGGATGGGTATGGGTGACTACACCCACAGGATGGGTATGGGGTGACTACCGCCCACAGGATGGGTATGGGGTGACTACCACCCACAGGATGGGTATGGGGTGACTACCGCCCATAGGATGGGAATGGGGTGACTACCACCCACAGGATGGGTATGGGGTGACTACCACCCACAGGATGGGTATGGGGTGACTACCACCCACAGGATGGGAATGGGGTGACTACCACCCAAAGGATGGGTATGGGGTGGCTACCACCCACAGGATGGGTATGGGGTGACTACCGCCCACAGGATGGGTATGGGGTGACTACCGCCCACAGGATGGGTATGGGGGTGACTACCACCCACAGGATGGGTATGGGGGTACTCCACCCACAGGATGGGTATGGGGTGACTACTACCCTACAGAATGGGTATGGGGTGACTACCACCCACAGGATGGTATGGGGTTGAACACCCACAGGATGGGTATGGGTTACTACCACCACAGGATGGGTATTGTGGTGACTACCACCCACAGGATGGGTATGGGGTGACTACTACCCACAGGATGGGTATGGGGGTGACTACCACCCACAGGATGGGTATGGGATGACTACCACCGACTGGATGGATATGGGGTGACTACCACCCACAGGATGGGTATGGGATGACTACCACCCACAGGATGGATATGTGGTGACTACCACCCACAGGATGGGTATGGAGTGACTACCACCACAGGATGGATATGGGGTGACTACTACCCACAGGATGGGTATGGAGTGACTACCACCCACAGGATGGATATGGGGTGACTACTACCCACAGGATGGGTATGGAGTGAGTACCACCCACAGGATGGGTATGTGTGACTACTACCCACAGGATGGGTATGGGGGTGACTACCACCCACAGGATGAGTATGTGGTGACTACCACCCACAGGATGGGTATGTCGTGACTACCACCCACAGGATGGGTATGTGGTGACTACCACCCACAGTATGTGTATGGGGGTGACTACCATCCACAGGATGAGTATGTGGTGACTACCACCCACAGGAGGGTATGTGGTGACTAACCACCCAGGATGGGTATGTGGTGACTACACCCACAGTATGGGTATGTGGTGACTACCACCCACAGGATGGGTATGGGGTGACTACCCCACAGGATGGGTATGTGGTGAAATACCACCCCCAGGATGGGTTTTGTGGTGACTACCACCCCAGGATGGGTATGTGGTGACTACCACCCAAAAGGATGGGTATGTGGTGACTACCACCCACAGGATGGGTATGGGGTGACTACCACCCACAGAATGGGTATGGGGTGACTACCACCACAGGATGGGTATGGGGTGACTACCACCCACAGGATGGGTATGGGGTGACTACCACCCACAGAATGGGTATGGGGGTGACTACCAACCACAGGAGGGTATGGGGTGACTACCACCCACAGAATGGGTATGGGGTGACTACCACCCACAGAATGGGTAAAGGGGTGACTACCCCCCCACAGGGTGGGTATGGGGTGACTACCACCCACAGGAGGGTATGGGTGACTACCACCCACAGGATGGGTATGGGGTGACTATCGCCCACAGGATGGGTATGGGGTGACTACCAACCACAGGATGGGTATGTGGTGACTACCACCCACAGGATGGGTATGGGGTGACTACCACCCACAGGATGGGTATGGGGTGACTACCACCCACAGAATGGGTATGGGGTGACTACCACCCACAGGATGGGTATGGGGTGACTACCACCCACAGGATGGGTATGGGGTGACTACCGCCCACAGAATGGGTATGGGGTGACTACCACCCACAGGATGGTATGGGGTGACTACCACCCACGAAAAGGGTTTTGGGGTGATACCACCCACAGAATGGGTTTTGGGGTGAAATACCACCCACAGGATGGTATGGGGGGGACTACCACCCACAGGATGGGAATGGGGTGACTACCACCCACAGGATGGGTATGGGGTGACTACCGCCCACAGGATGGGTATGGGGTGACTACCGCCCACAGGATGGGTATGTGGTGACTACCACCCACAGGATGGGTATGTGGTGACTACCACCCACAGGATGGGTATGTGGTGACTACCACCCACAGGATGGGTATGTGGTGACTACCACCACAGGATGGGTTTTGTGGTGACTAAACCCCCCACAGGGGTGGGTATGGGGTGACTACCCACCCACAGGATGGGTATGTGGTTTACTTTCCACCCACAGGATGGGTATGTGGTGACTTACCACCCACAGGATGGGTATGGGGTGACTACCACCCACAGGATGGGTATGTGGTGACTACCACCCACAGGATGGGTATGTGGTGACTACCACCCACAGGATGGGTATGTGGTGACTACCACCCACAGGATGGGTATGTGGTGACTACCACCCACAGGATGGGTATGGGGTGACTACCACCCACAGGATGGGTATGTGGTGACTACCACCCACAGGATGGGTATGTGGTGACTACCACCCGCATGATGGGTATGTGGTGACTACCACCCGCAGGATGGGTATGTGGTGACTACCACCCACAGGATGGGTATGGGGTGACTACCACCCACAGGATGGGTATGTGGTGACTACCACCCACAGGATGGGTATGTGGTGACTACCACCCACAGGATGGGTATGGGGTGACTACTACCCGCAGGATGGGTATGGGGTGCATAATAAACATATTAAACAAACTCTGACAACACAGCCAATAAATGCTGCCGCTGGTAACTAAGTTTAATTTACTTAACCTTAGTTAATTTGAAGGTAAATATGATTCACAATAAATACGAGAAAATATCTTCCTACTTACATCATTTGTGTTATTCTTATCTTTTAAGAATGCGTAAATTTTCTTCTCTCCTTTTGTCTTTGCTATATCACTCGGTGTTTTATTACTCTTATCTCTCTGGTTCTTATTTACTCCGGCTTGAACCAGCCACTCCACAGCTTCTATTTCGCCAGAAGCTGCAGCAAAGTGAAGCGCATTAGATTTACCATCAACTGTAGCGTGAATATCACAGTTAGTGTCCTTCAAGGCTTGCAGGGAGCCAACCTGACCCTGCAGAGCCGCCCAGTGCACTGCACTCCTTCCTGGAAGATAAGAAAAAGAGAGCTGATTTTAAAATGAAACCTATCATAGTCAGTTATTCAATGAAATGTCCTGAGATAAGCGTGATGTATAGGCAAGGTTATACATCCACTATGCTTAACTAGCAGCAATAGTTATCTGGGTGTTGGTAAATTGCTACTGGTCATATGCTAGTTGGCTATCCATGTATTCGTGTTGAGGCCTTAATAACTCAAAGGTTTCTTGAGCAGAACATCATCGCATTTTCATCGTATGTGTTCGTTATTTAAAAGAGAATATAATTCAAGCAAACACATGATTCTATTAAGCGTGCGGTAAAAATATTACTGCAGGGTTCCCAACCTTTTCTATGCCTTGCACCCCTGTGAAAATTTTTAATTAACGTTGCGCCCAATATGTCAGTGGTATTACTGTGTACTGTGTAGTATACTTAGATCATCCCAGCTACTTTATAGATATGCTCCCTTGCTAGCTATGACGTCACGGGACTCATCACATGGGAGCGGTTGGCCTGAGGCCCAGCTCTCAGTCACTCAAGAATTAGCGACTCTTGTAAATTCTGCTGTTGATTTATGAAGTGTTTCTTGGACTCTTCTGAAAACACCTTGAGCTAAACTGGTACGAGTAGCTATGAATTCATCAGGATTGTAATTTGGTTTCAGATTAGAATATAACAGTTCATATGGTAAGCGCTTATCTGCACCATACAACACATAATGTGGAGTGTCACCTATAGAAGCATTGTAAGCAGAAATTATAGCACACTGAACATCAGGGATAACTTCATCCAAGGTTGCACTGTTAGGATTAATAGCGGCTCTCGACACATCAAGTACTTTCTTATTGTAGGAGTGGACAGGTTCGGTGGAGTGGACGGATACTTCCCGGTTGAAATAGTGAATGATATAACCAGAAATATTAGCAAGGGAGAAATGGATCTTATTGTCTCTTACAACATGTAATGATTGCCCGACATGGCAACTCTTTCACCTTGCAGGTATCAGTGTCAACTAGGAGGTTATCACCATCTGGAACACGAGAGACATCAACAGACACTCTAGCGAGTGCACTAGCCACGACAGAAATGTCTCTCTGCAGACGGCCTGTGACATCAAGAGATGGCATAACTCATTTCAAGTAATCGTTTCTCGACAAGGCGTTCCCTGTGGAGGAACTACCACTTGAACAAGTAGCCATTGCAGGAATAGTAGTCTCGGTACCCTGAGTTGTCTGAGGTTCCTCTGGAACCCTCGGTAACTGTACACTATGCTGCATGCAAGATATTGTAGGGGCTGGATTCCAGACAGGAGTGACAGTTTTACCACACGTTTACGTTAATAAGTAATGTACATATCTGTAAGGACTTAATCTGAGCTTCACATTCCGCAGCACTGTGACAAATCTCGAATGCAAGCTGTGTGAACAAACTTATTGCCTAAGAACTAGGTGTTGTCTTTCAGTCGGTAAGGGATCATTAGGATTTTTCACAGTTACAACATTGGCCTGACTGACCTTATTCACTAAGGCATTGCTGACATTGGTGACATTGCTGACATTGGTGACATTGCTGACATTGGTGACATTGCTGACATTGGTGACATTGCTGACATTGGTGACATTGCTGACATTGGTGACATTGCTGGCATTGGTGACATTGCTCAAAGGTAGTTCAGACATGATTTCAGAGAATTTCCACGAAGATAATGAAACCAAGGAATAACAAAGAAAAGTATATGGCAAAATTGTAAGTAAATTGAAAATTAAGATGCTTAACTAACTCTGCATAAATATATATATATATATATATTTTATATATATATATATATATATATATATATATATATATATATATATATATATCGTGCCGAATAGGCAGAACTTGCGATCTTGGCTTAAATAGCAACGTTCATCTTGCCATATAGGACAAGTGAAAATTTGTGTATGCAATAATTTCGCCAAAATCATTCTGAACATAACGAAAAAAACATATTTCACTGTGTTTGTTTAGTATTAAATTATTGCAAACAAATCTAAAATACATTTAGTTAGGTTATGCTAAAATAAATTGCTCTTGTTATTATAAGGTGAGGTAAGTTTTCTAAGAGTCTTTTGGAGCAAAATTAAAAATTTTTACACTAACATTAATGAAAAAAATATATCTTTAAAAGTATAAGAGAAAATTTCAGAAAGGACTTAATTTTAAATGAGTTCTTGCTAATTGGCCAGTTTACATATTCGGCACGACATATATATATATATATATATATATATATATATATATATATATATTATATATATATTATATATATATATATTTTATATAATATATATATATGCAAAAACAACCATCTGAAAAGAATAGAGAAATTCCAAGCGCTTTCGTGACTACTACATTATCAAGGAACTATGAAAGTAAAGCATCCAAGGGAGCTATATAAGGGGTCTGGCCAACACCTCACTATCAGATCCCACAACGGTTAAACACCTGACGCGCGCCGGCCCAACTGGACAGGTCCTTTGCACAACTCACCCACAAACTATTCTACCCAAGAAAATTTAAAAATTATTATTTGTCCAGTGTATTATTAAATTCTTCCCAAATTCTATTAATTATAAATGGATCTAATTTATATAAACCAAAGGAAATATTCATATTATTGTCAAAACAGCTTGGAATTTCTCTATTCTTTCAGAGTGGTTGTTTTGCATATTCTGAAATCACCTGTTTACTGTGATCTTATTGCATATGTATATATATATATATATAATATATATATATTATATATATATTTTAAAATTATATATATATTTTATATATATATATATATATATAATATATATATTATATTTTATATATATATATATTAAAATATATATATATATATATATATATATATATATATATATATTATATATATATAATATATATATATTTTCGTGCCGAATAATGTAAACTGGTCAATTAGCAAGAACTCTTTTAAAAATTAAGTCCTTTCTGAAATTTTCTCTTATACGTTTAAATATACTTTTTTTCATTAATGTTAATGTAAAAAATTTTAATTTTCCCCCAAAAGAATCTTAGAAAACTTACCTAATCTTAAATTATTAAAAGCGCAATTTATTTTAGCCTAACCCAACTAAATATATTTTAAATACGTTTACAATAATTTAATACTAAACAAAACAAATCAAATATATTTTTTTCGTTAGGTTCAGAATGATTTTGGCGAAATTAAATTTCATACACAAATTTTCACTTGTCCCATATGGCAAGATGAACGTTGCTAATTTAAGCCCAAAAACGAAAGTTCTGCCTAAATTTGGCACGACATAATAATATATATATATATAATTTTATTATATATATATATATATTTATATATTATAGGTAGTAGGTTGGTAGACAGAAAACCCCCCAGGGAAGTACTACCGTCCTGCCAAATGACTGTGAAACAGAAACCTGTAACTGTTTTGCATGATGGTAGGATTGTGGTTTCTTTTTCTGTCTCATAAAACCGCCCAGATTAACAGGGATATCTTGCTATCCTACTTACACTTTGGTCACACTTCACAGAACCGCACATGCATATATATATATACATACATCTAGGTTTTTCTCCTTTTTCTAAATAGCTCTTGTTCTTCTTTATTTCCCTATTGTCCATGGGGAAGTGGAAAAGAATCTTTCCTCCGTAAGCCATGCGTGTCGTTGAGGCGACTAAAATGCCGGGGGGCAATGGGCTAGTAACCCCTTCTCCTGTAGACATTTACTAAAAAAGAGAAGAAGAAAAACTTTATAAAACTGGGATGCTTAAATGTGCGTGGATGTAGTGCGGATGACAAGAAACAGATGATTGCTGATGTTATGAATGAAAAGAAGTTGGAGTCCTGGCCCTAAGCAAAACAAAGCTGAAGGGGGTGGAGAGTTTCAGTGGGGGGAAATAAATGGGATTAAATCTGGAGTATCTGAGAGAGTTAGAGCAAAGGAAGTGGTAGCAGTAATGTTAAATGATCCGTTATGGAAGGAGAAAAGAGAATATGAATGTGTAAATTCAAGAATTATGTGGATAAAGTAAAGGTTGGATGCGAAAAGTGGGTCATAATAAGCGTGTATGCACCTGGAGAAGAGAGGAATGTAGAGGAGAGAGAGAGATTTTGGGAGATGTTAAGTGAATGTATAGGAGCCTTTGAACCAAATGAGAGAGTAATTGGGTAGGGGACCTGAAGCTAAAGTGGAGAACTTTTAGAGAGGGGGGTGGTAGGTAAGTTTGGGGTGCCAGGTGTAAATGATAATGGGACCCCTTTTGATTGAATTTTTGTATAGAAAGGGGTTTAGTTATAGTAATACAAATTTAAGAAAAAGGGGATAAATAAGTATCAAGAATGATTTAGGGCAAATACAGAGTTTTTTGGGGATTAGTTTTGGTAATAAAAGACTGTTTGATAGACTTAAGGATGTACATTTTTATAGGGGGGCCCACAATTTCAGATCATTTTCTGTTTTAGCTACACTGAGAAAAAAAAGGAGATGGGATACAAGAGAAATAGAACCTAGGGAAGAGAGGGGAAGGGTTTTATAAATTTAAAAGAGGAGGCATTTTGGGTAGATATAACCGATTGGAGGATAGAAGGGGCTAATAGAGCATGGGCAAGGGGGTCGAAAGGTATGGGTGGGTTTAAAAAAGTGGGTTTTAGAGTTTTTAGCGAATTTTGGGGTTTACGGGAAAAGTGGGTGCGGGAGGAAAGAGGACGTTTTTGGGGAATGAGATGAAAAGAGAGTAGTAAGGGAAAAAAGTTACATATGGAATTTTTTTACAAAGTAAAGTTTTGCAAGGAGGGAGAGTATATGGGAAAAAAGAGAGGGTTAAGAGAGTGTAAAGCAATGAAAAAAAGAGCAAGGAGAGATTTTTTTGAAAAAAGTTTTGGGTGAGTTAAAAAATTTAAAAAAGCCAAGAAAAAAAGGGATTTGTCAGTTAAAAATAGGAGGAGATTATTAAATGGAGAGTTAGAGGTTTTGGGAAATGGAGGGAATTTTTGAGGATTGTTAAATGTTGATGAAGATAGGGAAGCTGTGTTTCGTGTAAGGACAAGGGGGAAATAACATCTTGTAGGATGGGGAAGAGCCTTTGTGATGTGGGGGAAGTTGGAGGCGTAGGTAAAAAAAGGGGGAAAGGCCCCCGGGATTGATGGGATAAAGATGAAATGTTAAAACAGGGGGGGAATATTTTTGGGAGGTTTGGTGAAATTATTTAAAAAATGAAAAAAAGGGGTAAGGTACCTGGGAGGGGAAAGAGCAGGGATATTTCCTTTGTAAAAAGGCAAAGGGGATAAAAGAGATGCAAAAATTATAGGGGGAAAAGTCTGCGATTTAACCTGGAAAGTGTATGGTAAGTTATTTTGAAAAATTAAAGTAAGAGGGAAAAAAAGGGATAGCAATAACAAGGAGGTTTAAAAAGGTAGGGGGTGGGGTGGACCAGGTGTTTTACATGAAACATATAAGTGAAAGTATTTAGATAAGGCTAAAGAGGTCTTTGGGCATTTAGGGTTTTTTTGGGAAAAAGGCGATGACAGGGTGGTAGGGGCAATGGGAAAAGTTGCAATGTATTGTAGGTGCGGGGAGGTAGGTTACTGAAAGCAGTAAAGGGTTTTTACGGGGATAGGAGGCCAAGTTAGATATGTGGGAAAAAGGGAAATTTTTTTTCCCATTAAAAGTATCCTAGACAAGGATTGTGATGCACCTGGTTTTTAAATATAATTATAGTGGGTTGTAAGAAAAGTAAATGCGGGGGTCTTGGAAAGGGAGGGTGGATTAAAAGATAAAGAATCACAACAAAGGGGATTTTGTCACAGCGCTCTTTCTGAGACACTGTGCTTTGGGAGATTCTGAAAAATTTTGCAGAGATTTGGATAAATTTTTGTGGGGTGTGCAAAAGAAGAAAATTAAAGGGAAAAAGGGAAAAGAAAGGTTTAAGAGGATAACAAAAAATTGGGTATGAAATTTTAAAATACAGTTGGAGGGAGAGAGTATGGAGGGGGTGAAGTTTTTCAAAAATTTGGGAGTGGACGTGTCAGCGGATGGGCTATGAAAGAGGGGGAAATCATAAAATTGAGGGGGGAAAAAGGGGGGGGTGGTTGCATTTGGGAGTCTTGGAGCAAAGAATTTTGCCCTTTGGGGCAAAGGGGGAAATGTAGGAGTAAGTTTTACCAATGCTCTTAATGGGTGTGAAAGCATGGGGTAGAAGTTGGCCGAGGGAAGGGGGGGGGAACCCCCCCCCCCCCCCCATGCGGGGGGAAAAATTTTAAAATGCAGGATTTTTTTTGGGAATTTAAGGGGGGTGCGGGATTACCAAAACTGTTGTCCCAAGGGGCTAGGAAGGGGTTTTTTTAGGTGGTTGGACATGTAGAAGATGGGAGCGAACCCGAAGACTTCAAGGGTTCATCTGTTGGGGGAAAGGGCGGGGTAGGGTTTTGGGGCCTAAAAAAGGGTTGGGGGAGGGGGTAAAGGAGGTTTTGGTGCAGGGCTTGGACTTCCGCGGGCTTCGTGAGGTTTTGATAGGAGTGAAGGGAAACAAATGGTTTTTTAATATTTGGGACGTGTGTTGGAGTGTAGCAAATAACATTTAAAAGGGGGTTTCAGGAAACCGGCAGGCCGGACTTGGCCCTGGAGTGGAAGTACA